ATCAAAGGCCCTTAGCTACTATCCATATTAGAGGAATAGCTTTTAGACACTGGATCTTTAGACACAGGAGGAGATCAGAGTGTTATCCCTCAATCAATATGACCTGAACATTGGGGAACAGAATGAGAAACCACAGTACAAGGAGTAGGGGGACAACAATTAGCCAAGTTTCTTGCAGAGATACTCCAATAGGAAGATAAAGAAGACAATTCAGGGACTATTCAACCTTTCATAATTACAGGACTACAATTGTGCTTTTGGGGGAGAGACATAATGCAACAATTGCACATGAGTCTTACCACACACAAAGCTCAACCTTGGGAGGAAGTCCTTTCTCAAGCTTAACAGGATAAGATAATCACGAGGCCTTGAGGGGAGGCCCTTTCCTAATGTTCTCCTGTCACCGTGGCCTTGGTTATTCTTGTAACCACCCCCTCCTAGGGGCCACTGAGATGAAGTCCCAGCCCACAGCTATACCAATTAAATGGTTAATCAATGAGCCTATATGGGTTGAACAGTGGCCACTTTGGGACAAAAATTCCAACAGGCTCATATTTTGGTACAACAACAAGTAAAAGCTGGACCTGTGGAGCCTTCCAATAGTCCTACTTTTGTAATAAAAAAAAAGGCAAAGGAAAGTATAGATTAGTCCATGACCTTCGAGGCATTAACAAAGCCATGCAAACCATGGGAGCTTTACAACCTGGCCTCCCTTCTCCTGCCATGATTCCTGCAGGATTTGCAATTAAAATTACAGATTTAAAAGATTGCTTTTTCACTATCCCATTACATGACCTTGATAAGGAAAAAGTTGCCTTTACATTGCCATCCATTAATAATGAAAAACCAGCTCAACAATATCAATGGAAAGTATTACCTCAAGGCATGAAAAACAGTCCCACCATATGTCAGGCCTCAGTCCATGCTGCTCTTATACCTTCTATAAAAAATGGCCACAAATTAAATGTTTTCATTATATGGATGACTTTTAATTGCTCATCCCTCATTTACACTATTACAGCAGGCCCTCAAAGACTTAGAAAAATACCTAGCCAAGGAAGGTTTAATTATAGCTCCTGACAAAACACAGCTCTGCCCACCATTCAAATATTTGGGACACACTATAGTTGATAATATAGTCAAACCTTGTAAACTAAAATTAGACATTAAAAGGTTACGAACATAAATGAATTACATACACTATTAGGAAACATTAATTGGATTCGGCCTTTTCTTAAGATTCCCTCAGACTCTTTAAAACCTGTATTTGAACTACTGAAAGGAGACTCACAATTAAACTCATTAAAAAATTAACTCCAGAAGCACAACAAGCTATACAACTTGTTGAAATCACTCTTCAACATAGTTTCATCAACAGGATAGACCCCAGTCAGCCCCTCCAGCTAATCATATGGGGATACTCCAACTACTCCAACAGGGGCTATTATACAATGACTAAATAAAATCATAAGAGATGATCTTTACCCCTATCACACCCCCTAGGACTGTTACTCCCTATTTACAAGAGGTAATATATCTAATTGTGAAGGAAAGGCAAAGATGCAAACAATTGTCTGGCAATGATCCATCATGCATAGTTACACCCTTCACCAATATTCAGATATACTATCTTTATCAACAAAACTATCTATGACAAATTGCAATTAGCAATTACTCAGGACAATTTGACAGTCACTATTCCAAAGACCCTACCATAAAATTTTTAACTTCTCTGGCCTGGATTCTACTTCGCATCACAGACACCAAACCCCTAGCCAATGCAATCACAGTATATACTAGTGGCACCAGACCTGCCTAGCCCTATGGCTGAGGGAAATCAAGCAGTTGACCAGCTCATCTCCTTCCTGCTGTTGAGAATTCTCAAAATCCTTCTTCCATTTTTCAACAGGCCTTACAAAGCCACTCTTTACTACACCAGAGTGCTAACATGTTACACAATTCCTAACCTTGACTTGAGACCAGTGCAAACATATTATTAGGGCCTGCCCCACCTGCAGTAGTCTTCTACCTTTGGGCCCTAATATTGGCATCAACCCTCCTGGTCTTAAAACAAACCATATCTGGCAAACTGATGTCGCTCATATTCCCCAGTTTGGCACCTTAAAATATGTTCATGTGACAGTGGACACATAGTCGGCATCCTCTTTGGCTCAGCCCACAAAGGGGAAACTACCAAACATGGCCTTGCTCACCTGCTTGGTGTTTTTGCAAACTTTGGAATTCCAAAGTCCATAAAGACAGACAACAGTCCTGCCTATACAAGTACAAAATTTCAAGAATTCTGTAAATTATGGGACATCACTCACAATACTGGAATTCCTTACAATCCTCAAGGCCAAGCCATTGTAGAACAAAAATATCAAAAGATAAAAAACAAAATTTTAAAAATAAGAAAGAGAGTTCACCTCCAAGTCTCCACATACCCAATTACATCTCATCCTATTAACTTTCAATTTTTTCTCACTTTATGATCAAGGCATTACACCTATGGAAAAGCACTTCAGTGCATGGAACACCTGCCCACCTGTGTGTGTTCTTTGGAAAAATTTAGAGACAAACACATGGCAGGGACCTGAGCCTTTACTAACTACATGTCAAGGATATGCTTGTGTCTTTCCAGAACATGAATGATTACCATGAAGGCTGCCTCTCCGATGCATCAAACCAGTCACAGCCATGGACAGGACCCATGAAGAGACTTTGACTAGACAAACTTAATCCTAGTCATTGGTTTAATTTTGGACTTAAAGGACTTATAGACATAGATGGACTCATACTTTGTGTCTATGTAGTATCATATGACTAAAAAGTCTAATCACTCAGATACTAACTGCCACAAAAAAGAAAAATTTCCCTCATAAAAAATAAAAAAGGAAAGGAGCAGAGTCACTGTAGCTTTTGTGCAACAGCCCCAAGAGAGATAGCAACAGTCCAAGAGGACAGTTGCTGAACTCCCCTGTTCTCTCCCTGCATGGGACCTGGAAAACCTGGTCCCAAGAACATGATGTTCTGCACTTGGGCTCATAGCCATAGCAACGTGACAGCCAATCCCAGTACAGAGGTCAAGGGAAACCTGAGGACTGCTATGTACTCCTTCCTGCTGTCCTGCACTGCTTAAATACTCTCTTCAGAAAATAAACTACACCATTGCTGCCCAGCACAACCCCAAGTTTGTGTCGTTATTCATCACTCGAGCACCCAAGGCCAGAGTCAGAGCCCCTGCAACAGCTGGACTGTGGCACATCACTATTCACAATATATTTGATATGAAATAAATATTATGATGAACATAAGATGATTGAATGACAATATGTTGTGTGTATAAACACGTATATACAAAAAGTAGTATCTCATAGCCACAAGGAAGAATGGAATCCTGTCATTTATGGCAACAAAATGAAAATGGGGAACACTTTTATGTTAGGTGAAATGAACCACATTAAGAATGACAAGTACCAAAGTTTACTTAAGCATTGAATAGTGATTATAAGGGGTAAGGAAGTAGGGGGGAGGTTGAGTAAAGGGAGGCTGGTTTGATCAATGCACACTGTTTGCATGTGTATAAAGACCACACTAAGCCTCATTCATTTGTATGATTAATGCATACTAATTGAAAATAAAAGAAAATATAATTTAATATAATACAGAAAAGTTTTTTCAGCTCACCCCCTCCTTTTCCAGTGCTTGATCCCTATGACCTAGCAATCCATTCATCATTTGTCTATTTTATCATTTCAGTAATGCCCTTTTGGATGAAAATATCCAGATGAGAAACATGTGGAATGGATAACTATGGAGGGTCTGTTTCGTCCATCAATATAGTAGGAAAAAGGACATTAGGTAAGAAAATCCCAATAAGAAGCTAGAAGACAATCTATGATGCTAAAGTCTACATTATCAGGAAGTGCAGCTAAGGAATTTAAGGTCAATAATCTCATTCTCTGATTTTCTTTTAGTATAAAATCCTATAAACAGCTTAAATTTCCCATAAGAGTACATGTTGTGAGAAACTTAACTAAAGAAATGAAACTTTAATTAGTGTAATATATGTCATTTGAGATGAAATAATTCCTAAAGCCATGTCACATGTATTAAACAGGAACTTCCAAATATTTTGAATCCAATCATGGAAAAACATAGGGAAAATTGAAAAATGTAAAATGGAGATGATTAGATATCATGGAAAGCAGAGAGTGTAATCGAGTGCATTTTTTCATTTCAACATTTTTGTCTGTGGGTAAAGCAGAAGTGTTTATTCAGATGGAAAAGTAGCATACATTTGAGCTTCCAGAACTGGGAGGGGTCCCTGTATTTGAAATTTATAGAGAAGCTGAAATCAGCAAGAAAGAAACTCAAGAAAAACAATAAAATAAAAAGTGCTTATATCCACCATCGAATCAGAGATTTCCTGCTCTGACCCAGGGGTTTTGAGTACAGCAATCACGGACAGTTCTTCAGTCTCAGTACAATTGGACCTTTTTTGCACGTCCAAAAGTCCTGTCAGATCACTCTTGATGTCATCATTCCTCAGACTACAGATGAAGGGATTCAGCGTGGGGGTGGCTGCACCGTACATCATTGAAATGCTTGAGTGTGAATTATTTGTTGAAGAACTAAGGCAGACACCTAGGCCTGTACAACACAATAAGGAGACAACTGATAGCTGAGAGGCACAGGTGGAAAATTCTTTGTACTTCCACTTATCTGAATAAATTGCATGAATGCAAGAAAATATCTTGGAATAAGAGTAAAAGATGCCAGCAAGGGGACCACCAGCCAGCAGCAGAGCTGCAATGATATATCATTATACCATTAAGAAAGGTCTCAGAACAGGCACTGTGAACCAAATGATTCAGTTCACAGAAACAGTGTGGGATATCTAAGTGTGCACGAGTGGACAGCTGCATCACCATTAAGCTTTGTAAGATGGAATGAAGGGCACAAATAAATGCACTTGGGTGATGCAATACTTATAGCTTATGGCCTCGCTCTGTGTCTGGGTGTTCACTGACATCTCTGGGATGGTGGTGGAGGTTAAACAGATGTCCACAAAGGACAGGTTGGAGAGGAAGAAGTACATGGGTGTGTGCAGGTAGGAGTCTGAGATCATGGCCAGGATGATGAGCAGGTTCCCAAGTTATGTAAACAGATATACTGAGAGGAACAGTCCAAAGGGAATGGGTTGCAATCTGTGTTCCTCTGAAATCCCTAGAAGTAGGCATTCTGACATTTGTGTGTTGTTCTTTGGTCCCATGTGGTTTACGTATCTAACAAAAAAAGGAGACAAAAGGAAAGGACATGATCTAATTATGCAATAGCCAACATGACAGGAATACTGTCATGTATACTCTATAGTCAAGGCTCAAATTCTTAGGTTTTTCATAAGCATCTACTCCCTGATAAGACATCACCTTGCCATCAGTGACTCAGAGTTCCTACCTCCTCTCTGCCATTTTCCAAGATGTCATGTATTTAAAAAGTATAAGCACTATTTTTTTCATGCATTAGGCAAATATAATTTATTGATAAATGTTACCAGCACAGTCTAAGAAATGACTTATTTGTACAAAATAGTAAATTTTCCTACAATACAATAAGTGAGAAACAAAACCATCAAATTAAAGAAAATTCAAGAGAGGGCTAGTTATAGTTACTCTTGTCTTCAATCTCAGCTGGTATGAATATGGAGACTGGAAAGATCATGGTTTGAGGGTAGTGCAGGAAAAAGTTAGCAAGACCTCCATCTCAAAAAAGCAGGGTGTGGCAAATGTGCCTGACATACTAGCTAGACATGTGTTGAAAGTTGAAGGATCATAGTACATGCTGTGCCCAGAAAAAAATGCAAGGCCCTACTTGAAATAATAACCCAAGAAAACATGCTGGAGGTGTGACTTAGATGGCGTAGCACATGCCTAGCAAGCATGAGAACCTGAATTCAATACCCAGTACCAAAAACAAGAGTATTTAAATAGATGAGGAAATTATCAAATGACATGACAGTTACTATCAAGGAACAAAAGAGATATAAAGGAGAAAGTTTATAGGCAGTGTGATTTTTACTGGAGGTTCAGGCAAGGCCAAAAGGTAAATGACACTTAAAAAGTGTCTCCAGGAAGGCAAAGAGGAACCCACAAGGTCATCATGACAGCATGAGTGGTCAGTGAAAAGTCCCTGAGGATACTGCTTCATTCCAATGTTTTAGGTCAAGGGGAAGCCAATGTGAATAGGAGGTTGAGCATATAGGAAACTGACAAGAGCCAGTGTTGGAAAAGCTATGAAAAATAAGTAGATATAATTCTGTGGAAGTTTCAGAACACAATAACTCAGTGTGTGCAAATGATCTTGTATTTGCACTTAAAGTTGGCTGCAAAGAAACCTTGAGAAATTAAATCCATCCCTGTTCATTTCTTTTTCCTTATTTCCTGGACTCTATATTATAAGTTGCATATTGATATATTTTGAGACCAAGTCCATTCTTCTAAACTTATTCTCACTCCCAAAGTCCTTTTTCAAAGGAAGAAGTCCAAGTGGCCAAAAAACACATGAAAAAATGCTCAGCATCCCTACCCATAAAGAAAATGCAAAACAAAAACACACAAAGTTTCTACCTCATTCCTGTTAGAATACTAGATCCATGTATATCACCCTATACCAAGATTAACTCAAAATGGATCAAGGATCTTAATATCAGACCACAAACTCTTAAGTTGATACAAGAAAGAGTAGGAAATACTCTGGAGTTAGTAGGTATAGGTAAGAACTTTCTCAATGAAACCCCAGCAGCACAGCAACTAAGAGATAGCATAGATAAATGGGACCTCATAAAACTAAAAAGCTTCTGTTCATCAAAAGAAATGGTCTCTAAACTGAAGAGAACACCCACAGAGTGGGAGAAAATATTTGCCAATTATACATCAGACAAAGGACTGATAACCAGAATATACAGGGAACTTAAAAAACTAAATTCTCCCAAAACTAATGAACCAATAAAGAAATGGGCATGTGAACTAAACAGAACTTTCTCAAAAGAAGAAATTCAAATGGCCAGAAAACACATGAAAAAATGCTCACCATCTCTAGCAATAAAGGAAATGCAAATTAAAACCACACTAAGATTCCACCTCACCCCTGTTAGAATAGCCATCATCAGCAACACCACCAAGAACAGGTGTTGGCGAGGATGCGGGGAAAAAGGAACCCTCTTACACTGTTGGTGGGAATGTAGACTAGTACAACCACTCTGGAAAAAAATTTAGAGGCTACTTAAAAAGCTGGACATCGATCTACCATTTGATCCAGCAATACCACTCTTGGGGATATACCCAAAACACTGTTACTCCAGAGGCACCTGCACATCCATGTTTATTGCGGCACTATTCACAATAGCCAAGTTATGGAAACAGCCAAGATGCCCCAGCACTGACGAATGGATTAAGAAGATGTGGTATCTATACACAATGGAATTTTATGCGGCCATGAAGAAGAACGAAATGTTATCATTCGCTGGTAAATGGATGGAATTGGAGAACATCATTCTGAGTGAGGTTAGCCTGGCCCAAAAGACCAAAAATCGTATGTTCTCCCTCATATGTGGACATTAGATCAAGGGCAAACACAACAAGGGGATTGGACTATGAGCACATGATAAAAGCGAGAGCACACAAGGGAGGGGTGAGGATAGGTAAGACACCTAAAAAACTAGCTAGCATTTGTTGCCCTTAATGCAGAGAAACTAAAGCAGATACCTTAAAGCAACTGAGGCCAATAGGAAAAGGGGACCAGGAACTAGAGAAAAGGTTAGATCAAAAAGAATTAACCTAGAAGGTAACACCCACGCACAGGAAATCAATGTGAGTCAATGCCCTGTATAGCTATCCTTATCTCAACCAGCAAAACCCCTTGTTCCTTCCTATTATTGCTTATACTCTCTCTACAACAAAATTAGAGATAAGGGCAAAATAGTTTCTGCTGGGTATTGAGGGGGGGAGCGGGAGGGGGTGGAGTGGGTGGTAAGGGAGGGGGCGGGGGCAGGGGGGAGAAATGAACCAAGCCTTGTATGCACATATGAATAATAAAAGAAAAATGAAAAAAAAAAAAAAGAAAGGGATTCGTGATTGCTTAGGTCTGGGTGCGAGAACGTAGATTGGCTCTATATGAGTTGAAACTTTCTTTTGGGGGGTCATGGTAATGTTCTAAAATTATATTGTGGCGATCATTGTACAACTCTGTAAGTATACTGAAATCATTGAACTGCATTCAAAATGAATGCACTTTGTGGTGTGGTAATTTCATGCTATGTAAATTATATCTCAATAAAACTATTAATTAAAAAAAAAAAAAGAACAGCACCAACAACAAATGGTGAGGCTGTGGGGAGAAAGAACCCTCATACACTGCTGGTGGGAATGTAAGCTAGTACAACCACTTTGGAAAACAATATGGAGGGTTCTTTAAAAACTAAACATAGATCTGCCATGTGATCCGGCAATACCACTCCTAGGTATATACCTGAAGGAATGTGAGTCCAGTTATTCCAAAGACACCTGCACACCTATATTCATTGTAGCACTATTCACAATAGCTAAGTTATGGAAACAACCAAGATGCCCCAATACTGATGAATGGATTAAGAAAATGTGGTATTTATACTCAATGGAATTTTATTCAGCCACAAAGAAGATTGAAATATTGTCATTTTCAAATAAATGGATGGAACTGGAGAAAATCATCTTAAGCAAAGTTAGCCAGGCTCAGACGGCCAAATATCATATGCTTTCCCTCATATATATGCAGATTATACACCTAAAACAAATGCAGTAATATTGTTGGACATGGGTCACACACTAAGAGGAGAACATGCACAGGAGGAAAAGGGAAAGGGAAGGAAACCTAAAACTTGCATGTGGCTGATGTGTCCATTATAGGTGTGCGAATATGGTAATCTTAAACTATTGGAAGGTGACCAGGAATTAGTGAAGAGGTCTTATAAAGAAGAACCAATGTGGGTTGTAGTATACATATGCATGGAAGCAACACTAGGAATCTCTCTAAATAGCTACCTATATCTCCAACGAGCAAAAATGCTGTGCTTCTTATTATCTCTTACATTTTCTCTTCAACAAAATTAGAGAACAAGTACTTCCTGGAAGCGAGGGGGGTGGAGGGAAGGTGGAATGGGTGAGTGTTTGGGGGTGGGGCAGAGGGAAGAGGTAGCCCAAGCAATGTCTGCACATATGAATAATGTAAAAACAATTTAAAGGAAGAAAATGAGGGGCAAGTGATAGTCATAAATGCTGCCATTTATTGCACATCTACTGTACTTCAGGTATCTTTCTACACACTTTAAATGATTATGTAGTTCACACATAATATGCATAATTAAGTAAAATTTCCCAAGTTTATATATAGTGAGCTAAATTATGTAAATGAGTTCATATCAGAAGGGAAGTATATAGGAATAAGAATCAATTGTTAAGTTTTAGCCAGAAACAGAGCTATTGAATCCAGTATCTATCAACCTAAAATCAGAATTGAATTTGGTAAGAGCATTGTTGGTGAAGAAGCTTCAATATGTCCACAGTTGGCTCTAATATCAGACCATGCCTTTGGGCTGTAATGGAACTAGAATGCGATCCAGTAATCTTACTAGTAGGTATACACCCAAAGGATATGAAATTGCTATCCAAAGGACACTTGCACTTTCATATTTGCAGCAAGATTACCTAAAGCATATAGGAAATCTACCAATTTGTCCATTAATGTCTGAATGTATAATGCAGTAGTTATACATAATGAATTCAGATCCAGCCATAAAACTGATGCACTCTTATCATTTGGGATGCATAGATATCACCAGAAGTCATTATTCAAGTGAAATAAACCAGACTGAGAAAGGTAAATGTCACATGACCTAGTATCTAGAAACTAAAACTTTGATTTATTATAAATAAGGAGAATAACAATGGTCATTATGGACTGAATTGGTTGACAAGAAGTATTTAGGGAAATGTTGGCCAAAGGATACAAAATGACAGTTAGATATTAGGAATAATTTCAAGAGATGTACTCTACAATGTTATAACTGAATTACCAATATATGGTGTTCTTGGAAAATACTAGACTTGCTATTTAGAGTTTTCACAACAAAAAGCACAGTATATAGCAATGTGTGTAATGCACATATAAATAAGAGTTATTCTTAGTCATTCCAGGAAGTATAAAAAGTTTATTTTAAAAAGTTAAGGGTTGAGATAACATCCCATAGTTTTACAACAAATGAATATGGATGTCTTCCTCAATGAACAGGGAATGGGAGTTTTCTGAAGCTGTCAAGAGCTGTGTCCTTTCTATACAATGGGACTTTGAACTCCAAGGAATCTAGCAAAGTCAGGTGCCTCATTTGGAGGTTATTAGAAATAAAGGTTAGGCAGAAACACTATGGAGGTTAGAATTCAGGAAAGCAGGAGAGTTCATGGAGAGTCCATAAAGACTGGATTCAATTTATTATTAACATGGTCTCTTGGGATCATAGCATGAGTCAGAAAAATTTCCTATCCATTCAGACTAATGTCCCATGGGAAATGAAGGGATCAGGAGTTGGAGTAACAAGAGGAAATCCACCTAATGAGTAGGTTGGGAGGCATAAATACATCCTCTGGTGTTTTCCCTCACAGGGTACACTCTTGAGCTGGACAGGGCATCATGGTAAGTTTCAGAATTAAAAGCCTAGATATATTGTGAGAAATTTTGTAAACATCATGATATGTTCCCAGTACAAGAAAAATGAATATAAATTAAAAAGCAGAGAGAAGAAAATAACAAAGCATGATGTTAAGATGGTTTTTTCATATTTGTATGTGGGGTGAATTTATTTTTATTTGAACTACAGTGACACTGACATTTTAATTTAAATTGAATGCTGTCTATCTTAATTCTGCCCAGTTACAGACAAAATCAAACCTAGAAAATGTTTTATGTCCCAATCAAGATTGCTTTGAAATTGGAGTTTGTTTTACTCGTACATGTCATTTCAATTTTAAAATGCAAAATTCTTCTCTTGAATTCTTATGTCAGAGCTAAGCCTTATCATTTTTTCATTCTTCTAACATCAAATCTGTGATGTGAAAATGTATGATCTGCTATAAATTTATGTATTATGAACTAAATTGTAACTTATTAAAACCTATAAAAAAGGATTAAAACCTGATTAGTTAACCAATGTTCCTCATGTGTTTTTGTTTTTCTTTTTGTTTTTGTTTTTTTGTCTGGGAAGAGCTTCAGTCCCAGAAAAGTTCACTCAGGGAGAAATGCTGATTTCCACATGAAAACCTTCACCTTAGGTGCTCCATCCAGGTGAGTCTGTGACCCTGGCGGGTACTGTAGAAAAGACTCAGAATTTACCACATGTCACCTAAGGACCAATTTAGCTCACAGCAGGAAGGACTCTGTGTTTCCTGTGTTTCCTTCTTTTAAAAAGAAGTGTCTTGTAAGCTCTGCAATAAACATATCATTGATGACAATTGAGATGATAAAAAACTAAGTAGAAGAGAGGAAATGAATATGTGATCTAAAGTTTTCCCAATAAAATTAGAGCATGCCTAAGGAGTTTTTATAATTACGGAGTAATAAAATGGAATACAACCTTTGAGGAATATACAAGGAAGTCAGACCACTTTCCTTCAGCTTTAATGTGAATATATTTGATGCTGTTTCTGTATTTATTACAAAGTTCAAATTCATGGATGTATTTCAAACACAACATTACCATAATAGTTTATGAGTCCTACATTGCAGTGTCTTCTCTCAAGCTGGGAATTCACAGGAGCACCATAAATTTTATTTGATAGGTGAAGAAGAAAACTTTTTTTATTTTACAATTCCTTCTTTACTGCTGAGACTGAAATTGCTTTGTGAGTTGATAGTTTTTTCTCTCTCTTTGGAATTCCAAATTATTTCTGCAAGTTCTTTGCTTTTCTGGAGACAATGTGTTTTTAATTTTTTTATTTAATTTTTTAATGGAAGAATTGGAAGTTTTTACCAATAAGTTTTGTATTTGCTATTTAGTTCTTGAAATAGATAGATGGATAGATAGATACATGGATACATAGTTACATAGATAGATAAAGAGATACATGAAAGTTAATGAACTTTGTATGATAAAATCATTCAATAATACGGAGACACCAAGGCCTCAATTATTTTAACATTCAGAAACTTCTAAGTAGTCATCAATAATAAGTTTACTTTTATACCATTTTTCACCTAATCACATGTGCATTTTTCTTATTGCTAAATTTTTGTCTTTTACACTGAGTTTTATTTTGATAAGTAGCATCATCTGCCATCTCATAAGGTGTATTCTTTAGTATTAAATTAAACATCACCTACATCATTTACAAGCATAGTTTTATTTACAGCAACATCGCTATATTTACATACATCTTCTTTCTGTATAAGGTATATAAGTAATTACCGTAGTGTGGTGCTGTGAAGAATAGTGAGACATTGTGATTCTAAATTATATCTGCAAGTTCTTTGTCTTTATGGATATTGTGTGCTTAATTATTAAATGTATCTAAGGTATAATTTCATAATAGTTGATTTCATTATTGTTTACATTGTGTCATGTTTCAAAACATATTTGAATCAAATTCTGTTCATTCAGGATACAATTAATTTCTATAGAATTTCATGCATTGTTTCTACAAAAGTGTTTTCTTCTGTTACTTCCAGGGCTTTTTCAGTGAAATCTTGTATTAGAAACTTATTTTGATAGTATTAATTTATTGTCATCTTAGAACTTTTGGTTGAGAATTTACTTCAGATTTTCATTCACACTCATTTAAAGCAGTTGATTTAAAACAATATACTTCACAGTTTTTAGTAGACAAAGTCTTTTTAATTCTTTTCTACATTTTCTAACTTGTTTTGCCTTTGAGAAAGTACCAGTATGAACAAGGCCTGTAAGATATCTGCTTAACTAGCTTACATTATAGTGGCAAAGGTAGAAAACAATGGACTAAATCTATGTGTAGTATAAATACCACAGTGATGAATTCTATGAAGAAACAGGTTACATCATCAAGACAGGTACAGGACATTACAGAGGTCATGATAAACTGAAGTGCCCTCAAATGCGGGATCTTGTAGTTCAAATATTTAAAAATGGGAATAATTCATTTAATGTTCTGGTGAAATCATTTTGCAGGTAACTTGCTTAGGATTGTTTTGCATTTATGATCCTATGGAAATTGGTGTGGAATTTTCCTCTCTTCTTTCACAATTTTTCTTAACATATAGTAGTTGTACAGGGTATTTCATTGTCATATTTCCATATAGCCTTATAAATACTTTGGTTAGATCCACCTACTCCATTATACTCCCTCATCCTCCTTGCTCCTTACTTATTATGATTTCAAACTGTTTCATTGCTCCATTTTTATACAAGTATATAAAATATATCTACTATATTCATCTTCCTTTAGTTTTATGTTTTGCCATCCTCCCACTAGTATCCACTCCCTAACAGATCCAGTTTTAGATTCCTGTGATTAATTTTTAAAGTGCATATTCATTACTCAAAACATTTTTGCTTTACTATTTCTCCCATGAATACATTGCATGTTAATCACAATAACCCGCACTGTTACAATCCTCTACCCATACCCTCTATTATTCAGCAACTTTCAGTTCACTTCATTATGCCACCTTCATACACAGATGCAATATACTTTGATACTATTCACTTACTAGCATTCTCTAATTTTCCCATTATAGTAGAGTCCTTTTCTGCCCAAATTGTTACTCTCAAGATATAGATGCTGAATCCTAAATAATGAAGGAACAATCTACTCTGATCTACATGATACCTTTACCATTAAAATACTACATTATTCCTTGTACATAAAGGTCATCAGACTCACAGATCCATATAATAGAGTGGTGGAGTCATGAGAGGGGAAACTTGGAGTTATTTATTTATGGGTATGAAGTTATCACTATTTAAGATGAATAATTTCCAGACATATGTTGTAAAGCATAGTGCATAGCACAAGCACTATGATATTGTGTACCTCAAAATTTACCAAGAGGACAGATCTCAAGTTATTTATTTTCACTCCAAAAATAATCAGGATATTTTTCTCTTTCCATTAAGTAACATACAACATAAGGAATCACAAAATTATACACGAATTTCAGAATTTATACTTTTGGGATTTTCAGAAGACCCAAAATGGCAGCCACTCATCTTTGGACTTTTCTTCTTCATGTACCTGATCACTGTGCTTGGGAACCTGCTCATCATCCTGGCCACAGTCACAGACCCACACCTGCACACACCCATGTACTTCTTCCTCTCCAATTTGTCCTTTGTAGACATCTCCTTTACCTCCACCACTGTCCCAAAGTTGCTGGTGAACATCCAGACTGGCAGCAAAGCAATTGGCTATGAAGACTGTATCACACAGATGTACTTTTTCTTGCTTTTTGCGGGGTTGGACAACTTCATCCTGGCTGTGATGTCCTATGATCGCTTTGTGGCCATCTGTCACCCCTTGCACTACACGGTTATCATGAAGCCCCAGCTCTGTGAATTGCTTGTGCTGCTATCCTGGATCACAAGTGCCTTGAATTCCTTATTACACACCCTAATGTTGTTGGGAGTATCCTTCTGTACAGACCAAGAAATCCCACACTTTTTCTGTGAACCTAATCAAGTGCTTCACCTTGCCTGTTCTGACACTTTAATTAATAATTTAGTTTTGAATTTAGTTGCTGGTTTTCTGGGTGGTGGTTCTCTCACTGGCATCCTTTTTTCATATTCTAAGATTGTTTCCTCCATATGCAAAATCTCATCAGCTCAGGGGAAGTACAAAGCATTTTCTACCTGTGCGTCTCACCTCTCAGTTGTCTCCTTATTTTATTGTACAATCCTAGGAGTGTATCTCAGTACTGCTGTGACCCAAAACTCACACTCATCAGCAACAGCTTCAGTGATGTACAGTGTGGTCACACCCATGCTGAATCCCTTCATCTACAGTCTGAGGAATAAAGACATTAAGAGGGCTCTAAAAGGACTCTTTGAGACATAACAATAAAAGTGCCCATTTTTCTGAGACTACAAAAAAATGCTGCTGATTGCAAGACTCTAATCTCCAGAACAAGAAGTTCCCCTGTTTTGATCCACTTGTGAAAGCAGATGCCCTTCCTATTTATTTGCTGCAGTCTTCAAATTTTTATCTCAATTTCTCTATAAAATTGTTTAACCCATCTTATGGAGTTTTCTCCTCTCTCTGAAATGTAAATAGTGCTCCTCTGTTTCATTTCCCCACTTTCTTAAATTAATTTTCAACCTTGAATTAAAAATACAAAAAAACCTCTTTGCTTGGCACATGAATTTCTGAAGGGTATTTCTTCTCAATGTTGTAGTATAGACTGGCACATTTTTCCATTTTTACTATAAAACATAGTCATGTGGTGGTCTCCAAATATGTGGAAAACAACATATTTAGATGACTACGGATATTTGTGTGATTCTCTACTACAGGCAATTCTGAGATACTTATTTTGCACTTGTGGGTCCATCATTCCTTCACAAATCATTACTTAAATGGTCTTCCCTACAATGGAAGTTTTAGCAAACTGGTGTGTTTTAGAATTCATAATTGGATTTTCATTTCATTAGGATTTGTTTCTTCAGCTTTTTGTGCACTGTTCCTAACATAATCAATTTTAAAAATAATTATCAAATGCAATTCCAAGGTAACTGTAACTTGAGAAACAATTTGAAACAATAGTTTTATTTATTGGTACTAAGAATCAGATAGGAAATAAAACACTATGGGGCAAGTTCCTTTGTTTTCCATTGTATTTTTATTGAAATGAATTTTTTCAAACTGTGCATATTTGCTTTGAAATGTGGGAAGTGTCTGTTCATGAGGAAATGACTTTATTTACTGAGGATTGTATGGCATAGTTTACATTTTATTGTTGAATTATCTGCCTATATCTTCTTTAAAAACTTTCAGGGATGCCAATAAAAAATGAGTCCTTCCATTGTTCTAAAGGAAAGTTCCTGTCGTTTCTGATTTTTTCCACAACCACTAACAGGGTGATGTGAACAATATAAATATTGTCTATTTTACCTCTCAATTTTGCTCAAAAACAACTTTAACCTTCATCATCCAATCGCAACTCATAGGAGACATTTCAACTCCTACCAAGTATGTGATTTCATGTCCTTAACAGAGATCTATGTACTTTTCCCTGGAAAGTAAACTCTATGTAGTCATTCTTAAATAAATTCATATCAAGTTAATTGAACAAGTGAAGAACTGTTTAATGCTGTCTTTAAATATCAGAGCAAATGCCAGCAATTCACTGTAGTTGATTATTACAATTGCTCTCACTACTAACACATTTTGGTCATTGTAATGGTTGGCTGTTATTACATAGCAAGCATGTAGTTTAAATAAATACACTTATCAGCAATAGGATTGTATATTTCAAAGATATCCTTAGGTCAGTGGTCCTCAGATTCATCAGGAGACATGGACCATTGTATGCTCTACAGTGGTTTTGGCTGGATCACTGGCCTCTCCACCTGTCCTCTTTTCTTCCAGCTGTATCTCCTGGCTTTGTCATGTGGCTGAAATGCCCCATTAGATACCTCCAGACACACTGTCCATCTTAACATGTTCTACTACTGATAAAAAGTTTAAATCCTAAATTATTCTCCAGCCTTGTACATTTACTCCTTCCACATTCCTACCTGAGGCCTGAATGATCTTTGAGAAGAGAGTGTGATGGTAGGTTAATGCCCTAACTCAATATCCATGGGGGATTTTTTCCAAGAACTCAAAAATCTGTCACTAGATCATGAAGGGAACTCTAAACAATACATAGTGAATGAGCATGGCTATGTACTAATAAAACATTATTTATAAAATCAAACTAAGGATCACATTGGGCCCATTCACCATCATTTTTCAACTTGTACTCTAACCATTGTTCCTCCTCCCCACAGATAGCAAAAGCTACCACAAGCTCTCTAACCTAAACTGCTGCTGTATTGTTATATCCTACACAAATCTTCCCATAGGTATTAAACAATGCTTCAATATTACTTAACATATTTACATGTAAATCTATAAAAATTGTTATGGCATAATGTTTAATAAATGGGGACAATATGGAATATCTGTGTGTGTTCAGTCCTCATGCAAAAATGGTTAAATACTTTTGAATAAAGATCAGTTAAACTCGTGGATGTAGATGTCCGTGGATGATCAGGGCTGATTGTGAAATTTTGTGCATAGCTATAGAAATTTTGTTCTAGAAAGCCATCATCTTATTCTGTGTAAATATTCCTTCTGTGCCATTCAGCTCCAGGTTACTCTTCCTAGGTATAAAAGAAATAAAGGTTTTTCCTTCCACATGTTTCATAGATTCAGGGAACACTTGCATAACACGGTATTTAACAGAGAAATAGACATATATTTTCCCCCTATAACACTGACAGCATCATCACATATAGCTCACTTTACTTCTAATGCATTTGCTTGCTAATATACTCATAGGAGTTCCATCATGGCACTGATATTTTTCTCTTTTAGATATATTTAGCCATTTGTTTTGGTACTTTTATATGTTCATATTTCTATACTCAATCATTCCACTCTTAGAAATTTGTGAATGCAATCAATGATAGGGACAGAGATTTACATCCAAAGATACTCATTCTAACTTTTTCATCCTATGACAAAATGGAATCACTAACTTCCCAGCAATAACAGAATGATTTGATAAATCATGGAGCTTCAACAATATGGAGGTGTTGTGATTCATTTTTAAATGGTTCTTTTGAACATTTTACAATGGAAAACTGAAATAATACATGAGGGTTCAATCTCAAATACATTGTGCAAGAGACAAATCTTACTTTTAGAAATTATTGGAAGGAAACACATCAAAAGCACAATAGAGAATGGGATTGTGGGATTTTTGTTTTATTTCCTGGGTCAGGAAAGAAAGGATATTCAAAGGAGCAGCTTTTGAAGTGCAAGTAGACAATAAGGATACAGGAACTAGATAAGGGAAGGAGAGCTAAGGCAAATTTCCAGGGCAAAGGTCCTGAATGTGAGGGTGGAAGACAAATGAGAGTCCTTGGAGAATAAGGGATTCATAGGAGGGACAGTGCAAACTGAGGGGCAATGCTCTGTGCCAGGTCCTTTCAGTTGCAAATATGTTCCATGATCAACTTTTCAATTATGCAGAACAAAAAACAGCCATTTTCAACATCTGTACCCTGATGGCAGTACTATGGATTTTTCTCACTTTATAGAGTCATTCTCCTCTGGAATTGGCTGCCCATAGTCAAATTCTTAAACAACAAAAGCAACTAAAGGCAAGAATAACCACACATGTATCAATATAAACACTGTTAATGAACTCAACTCAGCCATCAAAAGACACCATTTGGCAAACTGGATTAAAAAGGAAGATCTGACAATCTGTTGTTTGCAAGAGTCCCAACTTATTAACAGAAATAAACACTAGCTTAATGTGTAAGTCTGGTAGAAGATTAACCATGCCAATGGTACCCCAAAACATGCAAGTGTAGCAATACTTATATCAGACACAACAGATTTCATTCATATGTTAGTCAAGAGAGTCAAAGAAGATCACTTCATACTAATAAAAAGAACGATACATCAAGAGGAAATAATGATTGTCAACTTATATGCAGCCAATATCAGTACACCCAGATTCATTAAACATACACCAGAAGATATAAAAAATAACACACCCAAACAAAGTGGTAATGGGAGACTTTAATACCCCTCTCTCACAAACAGATGGATCATCCAGACAAAAAATCAACAAAAAAATCCTAGAACTAAAGTAAACTATAGATAAATGGACCGGGCAGATGTCTACAGAATGTTCCACCCTGCAAAAGCACAATATACATTCTCTCAGCAGCCCATGGAATGTTCTCCAAAATGGACCATATCTTAGAACACAAAGCAATTCTTAAAATATAAGTAAACATAAATAACTCTGTGCATACTATCTGATCACAATGCAATAAAACTAAAGGTCAACACCAAAAGAAGCAGCAGAAATTACACAAACAATGGAAGTCAAAACACATTGCTCAGTGATCAGTGAGTCATAGAGAAAATAAGGGAGGAAATCAAAAAGTTCCCATTATTTAATGAAAATGAAACCACAACCTATCAGAACATATGGGACACAGGAAACATCATCTAAGTGGAAAGTTTATAGCCATGTGTGCATGTATTAAAAGTACAGAAAGTGTTCCAATAAATGACCTAATTCTACATCTTAAACTCTTAGGAAAAAAACAAGCAAAATCCAAAAACAGAAGGAGAGAAATAATAAAGTAAGACCCAAATTTGATTAAATAGAGACCCAAAAAAGGATACAAAGAATCAATGATAGAAAAAGCTGCTCCTCTGAAAAATTAAATAAAATTGACAAACCCCTGACAAATCTGTCTAGAAGGAAAGTGAAAAGACCCAAATTAGCAAGATCAGAAATGAAAACAGGGATATAACACCAAAGAAATCCAAGAATCATCACACAGCTTCTCTCATCATACTTTGAGAACATATGTTCAAATAAAATGGAAAATACAGAAGAAATAAACAAATTTCTAGATATTTATGACCATCCAAATCTGAACTAAGTGGATATTAATCACCTAAACAGATTGATAATACACAACGAAATTGAAGCAATTTCACAATGAATACAATACAGAGCCTCTCAAAAAAGAAAAGTCCATGACCTGACAGTCTCCACTGAATTCTACCAGACCTTAAATGAAGAAGTAATACCAACACTAATTAAAGTTTTCCACAAAATAAAAAGGGAAGGAAAACTGTCTAACACATTTATGAAGCCAATGTTACACTCATTCCCAAAACAGACAAGGATACATCCAAAAACAGTACTATAGGCCAATCTCCTTAACTAACATTGATGCAAAATCTTCAATAAAATAATGACAAACCAAATCCAACAACATATAGGAAAGATCATACACCATGACCAAGTCAGTTTCATCCCAGGCATTCAGGAATGGTTAACATATGCAAATCATCAAATGTAATACAACACATTAACAGAAATAAAGACAAAAACCATCTGTTCATCTCAATAGATGCAGAAAGAGCCTTTGATAAGATCCAATACCAATTCATGATAAATGCTCTGATGAAACTAGGAATAGAAAGAATGTTCCTTAACATTATGAAGGATATATATGGCAAGCCCATAGCCAATATCATGCTTAAAAGGGAAAAACTGAAACCATTTCCCCTAAAGTCAGGAATGAGACAAGGCTGCTCACTCTTCCCAGTCCCTTTCAACATACTCTAGGAATTCCTACCCAGAGCAATAAGACAAGAAGAAGTAAGAGGAATACAAATAGGTAAAAATAAAGGAGTCAAACAATCTCTATAGATGACATGATTTTTTACTTAAAGACCCAAAAAAGTCCAACCAAATACTACTAAACACCATGAAGAGCTTCAGCAAAGTACCAGGATGAGAAGATTGAGAAAGCATATAAGAAAACAATTCCATTTACAATAGCTTCAATATTATCAAATACCCAAGAATAAATTTAACAAAGGATGTGAATGACCTATACAAGGAGAACTACAATCCACTGAATAAAGACATCAAAGAAGACTGCCAAAGGTGGAAAGATATCCCATCCTCATGGATTGGCAGAATCAATATAATAAAATTAGCTATACTATCAAGAGTAATCTACATATTCAATACCATTCCCATTAAATCCCATTGCCATTCATCACAAACATTGAAAAATGTACCCTAAAATACATTTGGGAACACAAGAGACCATGAATAACCAAGGCAATACTGAGCAAAAAGGGAAAGGCTAGAGGTATCACAATGCTTGACATCAAACTACTCTACAAATCCATAGCATTAAAACCAACATAGTACTGGCACAAAAACAGATATGAAGACCAGTGGAACAAAATGGAGGACCTAGATATAAATCCAGAAAGTAATGCCCACATGTTTTTTGGCAAATTAGCAAAAACCTGCAATGGAGAAAAGACAGCATCTTCAAAAATGTTGCTAAGAAAAGTGGGTATCTGCCTGTAGAAAACTGAAACTAGATTCATGGTTGTCACCCTATACAAGTATCAACTTAAACTAGATTAAAAACCTTAATATTGAACCTGTAACCTTGAAGCTAGTACAGGAAAGAGGAGGGAATACACTGGAAGCAATAGCATAGGAAAGGACTTCCTCAGTAGAACTTAAGTAGCTCTTCAACTAAAAAAGGATCAATAAATGGGACTACATTAAATTAAAAAGCTTCTGCACAACAAAAGAAATGGTCTCTAAATTGAAGAGGTCACAACCAGAATAGGAGAAAATCTTTGCTAGCTGTACATCAGACAAGGGACTGATAACCACTATATACATGGAGATCAAATATCTAAACTACTCAAAAATCAATGAACCAATAAAGAAATGAGCAACTGAGCTAAGTAAAATTGTTCAAAGGAAGAATTCCAAATGCCTAAAACAAACACATGAAAAAATACTCAGCATCCCCAGCCATAAAAGAAAATTCAAGTCAAAACCACACTAAGATTCCACCTCACTACTTTAGAATAGTGGCCACCAAGATCACAAAGAACAGCAAATGTTGGCAAGGATGTGGGGAAAAAGGAACCCTCATACACTGCTGGTGGGAATGGAAGCTAGTACAATCAGTATGGAAAACAATATGGAGCCTCCTTACAAAACTAAAAATAGACCTACCATATGGCCCATCAATACCATTCCTAGGGATATACCTGAATCAATGTGAGTCAGGTTAGTACAAAGGCACCTGCACACACATGTTTATTGCAGTACTGTTTACAATAGCCATGCTATGGAAACAGAGAAGATGCTCCAATACTGCTGCATGGATTAACAAAATGTGGTACTTATAAACAATGTATTCTTACTTGGCCATGAAAAAGAATGAAATTTTCCCTTCTCAGGTAAATGGTTAGAACTAGAGAACATCAACTTAAGTGAAGATAAAAGGGCTCAGAAGGTGAAAAATCACACCTTCTCCCTCATAGGCAGATTATAGACCTACAACAAATGCAGCAATATTATAGAATATGGGGCACACTAAAGGATAGGGCAAGGGAATAAAAACAAGAAGTTGAATGTGGTTGATGTGCTCACTCTATATGACAAGTATAGTAATCTTAAACTGGCCTAGCCCATATGGGAAGATGACTAAGAAGTAGTGAAGAGGACTGGTAGACATGAATCAATTTGGGTTGTAATACATATATGCATGGAAACAACCATAGAGATCTCCCTGTATAGCTATCTTTATCTCAAACTAACAAAACTGCCATGTTTTTCTCATTATCTTTTATGTTTTTTCTTCTACAAAATCAGAGAACAGGAGGGCGGGTGGAACATGTTCTGTGTGTGGGTAGGAGGTAAGGAGTTTGAGGAAATGTTGACACGTGGGGGGTGGCAGGGAAAGCTGGAGAAGTATGAATATGGTGCAAATAATTTATACAGATGTATGTAAATACAAAAGTGATACCTGTTAAAACTGTTCCTGGAATCAGGATAAGGGGGAATGAAAGAGAGTATGATATTTTTGATACATAATAAGAATATTTGTAAATACTCCAATACCCCCAGTACAACAATTTAAAAAAATGAAAGTGATTTTTAAGTGTTTTTTACATCTCTTAATTATACATATTTATTGAGTACAGTGTGATGTTTTGACATATGTATACAATGTGCAATTATCAAATAAGTGAGGTTAACATATCCATCCTCTCAAACGTTTGTTCCTAGTGTTGGGTACATTCAAAATATGCAATGATAAAATTATATTGAAACATACAAGAGATTATTGTTAATTATAGTCACTTTACAGTGCTGTTGGACACTGACACTTAATCTTCAAATTTTATCTATCTCCTCCAATCTCCTACCCTTCCCGTCCTTTGGGGACCATTTCATTCTACTTTTATGACATTAACTTATTTAGCTTCCACACATGTGTGAGCATGCAATATTATGTGCCTGACATATTTCACTTAGCCTAATGTCCTCAAGATACTCTATAGCAGTCATATTCAAAATTGAAGAGAGAGGGGAAAAGCATAAGTGCTCATCCACACATGAATTGATAATGAAGTGATCTATAAAGACACTAGAATATTATTCAGCCATCAAAACAAAATGAAATCCTGTCATTTGTGAAATTCTGCCATTTGTGATCTTTGTGAAAATCATTTTAACTAGCATAAATTGACTTGTATAGCTTGATTATATTCACCCCTCTACACATTTTTTTTATTTTTTATTATCATATAATTGTTGAACTGGGGTTACATTGTGACAGTTACAAAAGTTCTTCCAATGTATCTGAGTTAAACTCACCCCTTCCACCATTCTCCTTTTTACCCCTTTCCCCTCAATCCTGGAATAGTTTCAACATGTCTCATTCTTCCTTTTCACACATGAATACATAGTATTTCCTCTTTATTCAGTCTGCACCGAGAACTTTAACATAGACTTTAGAAAGTACAGCTAAGAAAGAACTTCATACATAGGCCTTAAGGAAGGATAAAGCCAAAGAGAACATGGGACCGTGCACAGTGCAAGTCTAAGGACCAAGACTTTAAGAGTTATTTATATTCAGGTTGTAGTGTGGCTGTTTGCAAGTTTGAGCATGGAGGCTTTGAGAGAGCTAAAGAGATAGGACAGTGAAAGCCTGGGGGCAAAAGACTTTAAGAGCGATTAAGCTAAAGATAAGCTAAGAGCAAACATGGGACAGAGTGAGCCTAAGGAATGAGGTTTTAAGTAAGGTTTTAGAGAAGGCTTTAGAAGCAAGGTTTTAAAGAGCTGCAAGGAGTAAGGCCTTAATAAATCAAGATAGAGAAAAGAAGGAATGAGGTTGGGTGTCTCCACTCAAATGCCAACACACCTGTCTAGCTATCTGTCTATCCTGTGTCTTTTCTGAATCTCCAGTATACCCAGTTAAGCCCAGTTAGGTCCAGTAATAGCCAGAAGCAAGAGAGAAAAAGCTTGCTCCAACAAGGGAGGGAGCTAGAAACAGTGCCCCCTCCAGGTGGCACCTGAATGGGGACATGACTGCAGGATATTAATTTAACTATAGGGGAACTCAAAGCCTGAGATAAGGAGACACTCTCCTAGGGGTGCACACATAATAAAGAAATGAAAAATAAGCAAGGAAAAGAAAAATAAGCAAAGGGAGAGGGAGAGTGAAGTGAACACACTCAGGTGTAAAAACTTGACAAACTCTATGTATAGGCTTTAAAAGGCTATGTTAAGAATTAAGAATAAGGTAAAAGAATTAAAAGTTAGGAATTAAGAGTTATAAGGTAGAATAATTAAGCATTATAGGGTAGAACTAAGTGTTAGACAGTAGAATTATAAGTAGAAATTATACAACAGAATTTAGTAGAGATTTATGGTAGAGAGGTAAAAGAAATATGGTGGAGCAGTAGAGAATTACAATAGAGCTGTAGATTTAAGAAGTAAAAGACTCCTCCTTGGTAGTTTAGCCAGGAAGTGGGACTCACCATTAAACCTGTCATACAGGAGTGGGAGAAGCAGTAACAAGATGCCTCGGGTGGTGGAAGTGCTGAGTGGTCAGCCCCACCTTAAAAGTAAAGTTCAGTCCAGAGATTCTGATTCTGTGTCAGATGAAGGAGGGTTGAGAGATGCTCAGGCCCATCAAGCACTGAGGATCAACACATGTGGAGTCACCTCACGGACCAAGAGATTTCTTCTCTTGCAAAGCGTCCCCTACAGGCTGCTTACAGCCACCTAATGGTCAGAGGTTTTACCTTGTGCTTGAGAGACTGGATCCTAACAGCCTGGCATACATGAGGTTTCAAAACAACTCCTTGGAATTGGAGAATGGGTTTCATTGGGAGCACTTTAAAAATAAAAACAGAGGGATATGTGGGGAGTGGATTAAAGCCTATGGACTAAAAAATAAAAACAGAGGGAGATGTGGGGAGTGGATAAAGCCCAGTTAGGTCCAGTAATAACCAAGGAGCAAGAGAGAAAACCACACTCCAGCAAGGGAGGGAGTGCAAGAAACAGCGCCCCCTTCAGGACATTGAGTACTTCTCACAAACTGCATATGTGTTGGAGCAAAGTTAGATTTTCTATCTCTTTTAAATCTCCCTTAATGCCTTTTACTGGTGGGGGTGCCCTTTTAAAGAGAATCTCACAGGGCAATAATCTAGTTTGTTTGGTGGGGCGGCACCTGATCCTAAGTAAAGCTAATGGCAATATCTTTTTCTAAGTTGAGCGAGTTTCCTGACAGTTAGCTCCCATTCCAGTGTTAGTTTTTCTGCCTCTGATACCAACATGACTGTGGCTGTGAGAGCTCCCAGGCAGGGAGGCCATCCAAGTGTTTGGAAAGATAAGCCACTGGCTGATGCCTTGAGCCAGGTATTGGGTCAGG